GTGTTTACCTCAGAATTCGCGACTTTTTTCCACATAATTATCGGGTTTTTACCACCCGGCCGATTCGGACCCAAAAATGTCGGATTTTACCCCCGACATTCACATTTCTGGGCGAAAATATAATAATTTTTAATAAAAATTTTTTTTTTGCCTCAAATTCGGCGGTTTTTACCTCAGAATTCGCGAGTTTTTACCTCACAATTCCCCGTGGTTGTCGCGTCACCTCCTGCTCCGATTCCCGCCCTTTTTCCGGCTTGGCGCGCAGGGAACGCTGGGAAAGCGAGTTCGGAGGTGCCGAGGACCCAAAATCGGCGGATTTTGCCCCAAAAGCGCCTCGAAAGTCGCGATTTCGGGTAAGAATCGAACGTTTTAAACATTAATCGATGTTTCTGCCTCAAATTCGGGGATTTTTACCTCAGAATTCGAGAGTTTTTACCTCACAACTCCCGGTTTTTTACCTCAGAATTATCGGGTTTTTCTCTCCTGAATTGGCGGATAATGCCCCAAAAGCGCCTCGAAAGTCGCGATTTTGGGTAAGAATCGAACGTTTTAAACATTAATCGATGTTTCTGCCTCAAATTCGGGGATATTTACCTCAGAATTCGGCGATTTTTACCTCAGAATTCGCGAGTTTTTACCTCAGAATTCCCGGTTTTTTACTTCAGAATTATCGGGTTTTTCTCTCCTAAATTGGCGGATTTTGCCCCAAAAGCGCCTCGAAAGTCGCGATTTTTGGTAAGAATCAAAATTTTGAACAACAATCCACATTTTTTTCCACAAATTCGGCGATTTTTACCTCAGAATTCGCGAGTTTTTACCTCACAATTCCCCGTGGTTGTCGCGTCACCTCCTGCTCCGATTCCCGCCCTTTTTCCGGCTTGGCGCGCAGGGAACGCTGGGAAAGCGAGTTCGGAGGTGCCGAGGACCCAAAATCGGCGGATTTTGCCCCAAAAGCGCCTCGAAAGTCGCGATTTCGGGTAAGAATCGAACGTTTTAAACATTAATCGATGTTTCTGCCTCAAATTCGGGGATATTTACCTCAGAATTCGGCGATTTTTACCTCAGAATTCGCGAGTTTTTACCTCAGAATTCCCGGTTTTTTACTTCAGAATTATCGGGTTTTTCTCTCCTAAATTGGCGGATTTTGCCCCAAAAGCGCCTCGAAAGTCGCGATTTTTGGTAAGAATCAAAATTTTGAACAACAATCCACATTTTTTTCCACAAATTCGGCGATTTTTACCTCAGAATTCGCGAGTTTTTACCTCAGAATTATCGATTTTTCACCTCACAATTACCGAGGTTTTTACCGCCCAAATCAGTCGATTTTGACCCGAAAATGTCAGATTTTACCTCCAAATTTCACGATTTTGAACAAGAATCGTATGTTTTAAACAATAATTTACATTTTCCCTGAAATTTAGCGATTTTTACCTCAGAATTCGCCAGCTTTTACCTCACAATTCCCGATTTTTTACCTCACAATTCCCGGGTTTTTACCTCAGAATTTTCGGGTTTTTCTCTCCTAAATTGGCGGATTTTGCCCCAAAAGCGCTTCGAAAGTCGCGATTTTTGGTAAGAATCTAAATTTTGAACAACAATCCACATTTTTTCCACAAATCCGGCGATTTTCACCTCAGAATTTGCGAGTTTTTACCTCAGAATTATCGATTTTTCACCTCACAATTACCGAGGTTTTTACCGCCCAAATCAGTCGATTTTGACCCGAAAATGTGAGATTTTACCTCCAAATTTCACGATTTTGAATAAAAATCGTATGTTTTAAACAATAATTAACATTTTCCCCTGAAATTTGTCGATTTTTACCTCAGAATTTGCCAGTTTTTACCTCACAATTCCCGATTTTTTACCTCAGAATTCCCGAGTTTTCCCCCCCCCAAATTTGGCTGATTTTAACCCAAAAATGCCGATTTTTACCCCTCAAAAATTACATTTCTGGGTGAAAATTAAACGTTTTAAATAAAACTGTGTGCTTTGGTCTCAAATTCAAAGATTTTTACCTCAGAATTCCCGAGTTTTTACCTCAAAATTATCGGGTTTTTTTCCTTCCCTAAGTCGGCCAATTTTGCCCCGAAATGTCAGATTTTACCTCTGAAATTTGCAATTTTAGGCAAGAATTGAACGTTTTTAATAAAAATCCACCTTTTTGCCAAAAATTGCTCATTTTTTACCTCAGAATTCTCAAGTTTTTACCTCAGAATTATCGGGTTTTTTACCTCCTGCCGAATTTCTTCCCCAAATTCCCATTTTCTACCCCCAAAATTGACGTTTTCACCTCCAAAAATTCACATTTGACCCCAAAATTCCCAATTTTACCCAAAAATCCCCAAATTTACCCCCACAATTCTAGATTTTAACCCCAAAAATTCCATGTAGCTCCAAAATCCCCAATTTTACCCCCAAAATCGACATTTTTACCTGAAAAAATTTCCAACTTTTACCTCAAAATCCCCAATTCTACCCCAAAATTTCCCTTTTTACCCCCAAACCCCCAATTTCACCTCAAAAAATCCAACTTTTACCTCAAAAAATCCAACTTTTACCCCTCCAAAAATCCAGTTTTTACCTCCAAACCCCCAATTTCACCCAAAAATTTTTGATTTTTACCTCAAAAAAATCCAAATTTTACCCCCAAATCCCCAAATTTTACCCCAAAATCTCCAATTCTGACCCCAAAATCCCCATTTTTCACCCCAAAATCCCCAGTTTTGACCCCAAAACTCCCATTTTTATCAAAAAAATCAACAAACTGAACCCAAATTTTCCCTTTTTTAATGGTTTTGAACAAGAATCGTATGTTTTAAACAATAATTTACATTTTCCCTGAAATTTAGCGATTTTTACCTCAGAATTCGCCAGCTTTTACCTCACAATTCCCGATTTTTTACCTCACAATTCCCGGGTTTTTACCTCAGAATTTTCGGGTTTTTCTCTCCTAAATTGGCGGATTTTGCCCCAAAAGCGCTTCGAAAGTCGCGATTTTTGGTAAGAATCTAAATTTTGAACAACAATCCACATTTTTTCCACAAATCCGGCGATTTTCACCTCAGAATTTGCGAGTTTTTACCTCAGAATTATCGATTTTTCACCTCACAATTACCGAGGTTTTTACCGCCCAAATCAGTCGATTTTGACCCGAAAATGTGAGATTTTACCTCCAAATTTCACGATTTTGAATAAAAATCGTATGTTTTAAACAATAATTAACATTTTCCCCTGAAATTTGTCGATTTTTACCTCAGAATTTGCCAGTTTTTACCTCACAATTCCCGATTTTTTACCTCAGAATTCCCGAGTTTTCCCCCCCCCAAATTTGGCTGATTTTAACCCAAAAATGCCGATTTTTACCCCTCAAAAATTACATTTCTGGGTGAAAATTAAACGTTTTAAATAAAACTGTGTGCTTTGGTCTCAAATTCAAAGATTTTTACCTCAGAATTCCCGAGTTTTTACCTCAAAATTATCGGGTTTTTTTCCTTCCCTAAGTCGGCCAATTTTGCCCCGAAATGTCAGATTTTACCTCTGAAATTTGCAATTTTAGGCAAGAATTGAACGTTTTTAATAAAAATCCACCTTTTTGCCAAAAATTGCTCATTTTTTACCTCAGAATTCTCAAGTTTTTACCTCAGAATTATCGGGTTTTTTACCTCCTGCCGAATTTCTTCCCCAAATTCCCATTTTCTACCCCCAAAATTGACGTTTTCACCTCCAAAAATTCACATTTGACCCCAAAATTCCCAATTTTACCCAAAAATCCCCAAATTTACCCCCACAATTCTAGATTTTAACCCCAAAAATTCCATGTAGCTCCAAAATCCCCAATTTTACCTCCAAAATCGACATTTTTACCTCAAAAAATTTCCAACTTTTACCTCAAAATCCCCAATTCTACCCCAAAATTTCCCTTTTTACCCCCAAACCCCCAATTTCACCTCAAAAAATCCAACTTTTACCCCCCAAAAAATCCAACTTTTACCCCTCCAAAAATCCAGTTTTTACCTCCAAACCCCCAATTTCACCCAAAAATTTTTGATTTTTACCTCAAAAAAATCCAAATTTTACCCCCAAATCCCCAAATTTTACCCCAAAATCCCAATTTTGACCCCAAAATCCCCAATTTTGACCCCAAATCTCCCATTTTTATAAAAAAAAAATCAAATATTTAACCCAAATTTTCCTTTTTTTAATGGAAAATGTCCCAGTTGTTGTCAGCGGTCACTCAGGGGTCACTCAGTGGTCACTTTGTGGTCACTCCGAGGCCAATGCAGCGGTCACTCAGTGGTCACTCCGTGGTCACTCAGTGACCAGTCCAAGGGTCAATCCAAGGCCAATCCAGTGGTCACTCAGTGGTCACTCAGGGGTCAAAAAATCCAACTTTTACCCCCCAAAAAATCCAACTTTTACCCCTCCAAAAATCCAGTTTTTACCTCCAAACCCCCAATTTCACCCAAAAATTTTTGATTTTTACCTCAAAAAAATCCAAATTTTACCCCCAAATCCCCAAATTTTACCCCAAAATCTCCAATTCTGACCCCAAAATCCCCATTTTTCACCCCAAAATCCCCAGTTTTGACCCCAAAACTCCCATTTTTATCAAAAAAATCAACAAACTGAACCCAAATTTTCCCTTTTTTAATGGAAAATGTCCCAGTTGTGGTCAGTGGTCACTCAGTGGTCACTCAGTGGTCACTCAGGGCCACGTTGTTGTCAGCGGTCACTCAGGGGTTACTCAGTGGTCACTTTGTGGTCACTCCGAGGCCAATGCAGCGGTCACTCAGTGGTCACTCCGTGGTCACTTCCAGGGTCTCTCTGAAGGTCACTCACACTCAGTGGTCACTTTGTGGTCACTCCGTCACCAAGGCCAATCCAGTGGTCACTCAGGGGTCACTCAGTGGTCACTTTGTGGTCACTCCGTCACTCAGTGACCAGTCCAAGGGTCACTACTAATGGGGAAAATCCAGGGTCTCTCTGAAGGTCACTCAGTGGTCACTCAGTGACCAGTCCAAGGGTCACTTCCAGTGGTCACTTTGTGGTCACTTCCAGGGTCACTCCGTGGTCACTCCATGGTCACTCCATGGTCACTCAGTGACCAGTCCAAGGGTCAATCCAAGGCCAATCCAGTGGTCACTCAGTGGTCACTCCATGGTCACTCCGTGGTCAGTTCAAGGGGTCACTTAGTGGTCACTCCGAGGCCAATCCAGTGGTCACTCCATGGTCACTCAGTGACCAGTCCAAGGGTCAATCCAAGGCCAATCCAGCGGTCACTCCGTGGTCACTCAGTGGTCACTCCATGGTCACTTTCAGGGTCTCTCTGAAGGTCACTCAGTGGTCACTCAGTGACCAGTCCATGGGTCAATGCAGTGGTCACTCAGTGGTCTCTCCGAGGCCAATCCAGTGGTCACTCTGTGGTCACTCCAAGGATCTCTCAGCGGTCACTCAATGGTCACTCTGTGGTCACTCCAAGGCCACTCTAAGGGTCACTCAGTGACCAGTCCATGGGTCAATCCAGTGGTCACTCAGGGGTCACTCAGTGGTCACTCAGTGACCAGTCCATGGGTCAATCCAGTGGTCGAAGGCGGCGTGAGCCCCCAGGGCGACCCCTCCGGCCGCGGCGATGGCGACTTCGGCCAGCAGAGTGACCACAGCGACGGCCAGCGGCTGCTGGGGGAGGGGCACCTGCGACAGCGGGCAGCGGTCACTCAGCGGTCACTCAATGGTCAGTCAATGGTCAGCGGTCACTCTGGGGTCACTCAATGGTCAGTCAGTGGTCACTCAGGGGTCACTCTGGTCACTCTGGTCACTCAGGGTCACTCAGGGGTCACTCAATGGTCAGTGGTCACTCAGGGTCACTCAATGGTCACTCAGCGGTCACTCAGTGGTCACTCAGGGGTCACTCAGGGTCACTCAGGGTCACTCAATGGTCACTCAGGGGTCACTCAATGGTCACTCATTGGTCACTCACTGGTCAGGGGTCACTCAGTGGTCAGTGGTCACTCAGTGGTCACCCATTGGTCACTCACTGGTCAGTGGTCACTCAGTGGTCACTCTGGTCACTCATTGGTCAGTGGTCACTCAGTGGTCACCCATTGGTCACTCTGGTCACTCATTGGTCACTCTGGTCACTCATTGGTCACTCTGGTCACCCATTGGTCACTCACCTCCTGGGCCAGGTTGGCGAATCCGTTCCCGTAGGCCCCGCCCCCCAGCAGCCCCTCCCCCACCGCCAGCGCCGCGGCCACGCCCAGCCCGGGCAGCAGCTGATTGACAGCCACGGCGGCCAATAGGAACGAGGCCAGCAGCACCTGGGGGCGGGGCCGGGAAAATGGGTTAAAAATGGGGAAAATGGGGAAAAATGGGGAAAAATGGGTTAAAAATGGGAAAATTGGGGAAAAATTTGGGGAAAATTGGGGGGAAATTGGGGGAAGTTGGGAAAAAGGACTGGGGACAATTGGGGAAAATGAGGGAAAATATTTTGGGTTAAAATTAGGGAAAATTGGGAGCCGTGGGGCAGGGGAGGGATCCGTGGGGCAGGTTTGGGATCTGTGGGGCAGCGGAGGGATCTGTGGGGCAGGGGAGGGATCTGTGGGGCGGGATTGGGATCTGTGGGACAGGTAAAGGATCTGTGGGGCAGGTAAAGGATCTGTGGGGCAGGTTTGGGATCTGTGGGGCAGGATTGGGATCCGTGGGGTAGGATTGGGATCTATGGGTCAGGATCAGATCTATGGGGCAGGATCAGATCTATGGGGCAGGATCAGATCTATGGGGCAGGCTCTATGGGTCAGACCTGTGCCAGCGCCAGCCCCCAGAGGCGCCGCAGGCGGAGGCAGCGCAGCGACGAGCGCGAGACGAAGACGCCGGCCTGGTACAGGAGCTGCAGCCTGGACAGGGAAGGGTTAACGCGCCGGGAATTTGGTAGGATCTATGGGTCTGGTTTAGGATACGTGGGGCAGGTTTAGGATCTATGGGGCAGGATCTATGGGGCAGGATCAGATCTATGGGTCAGGATCTATGGGTCAGGCTCTATGGGTCAGACCTGTGCCAGCGCCAGCCCCCAGAGGCGCCGCAGGCGGAGGCAGCGCAGCGACGAGCGCGAGACGAAGACGCCGGCCTGGTACAGGAGCTGCAGCCTGGACAGGGAAGGGTTAACGCGCCGGGAATTTGGGACATGAAACTGGGATTTTCGGGGTTAAAATTTGGGAATTTTGGGGTTAAAAATTGGGAATTTTTGGATTAAAATTTGGGAATTTATGAGTTAAAATTTGAGAATTTTTGGGTTAAAACTGGGAATTTTTGGGGTGGAAATTGGGAATTTTCGGGTTAAAATTTGGGAACTTTGGGGTTAAAATTTGGGAATTTTGGGGTTAAAAATTGGGAATTTTTGGATTAAAATTTGGGAATTTATGAGTTAAAATTTGAGAATTTTTGGGTTAAAACTGGGAATTTTTGGGGTGGAAATTGGGAATTTTCGGGTTAAAATTTGCGAACTTTGGGGTTAAAATTTGGGAATTTTGGGTTGGAAATTGGGAATTTTCGGGTTAAAATTTGGGAATTTATGGGTTAAAATTGGGAATTTTTGGATTAAAATTTGGGAATTTATGAGTTAAAATTTGAGAATTTTTAGATTAAAATTTGGGAATTTTTGGGGTGGAAATTGGGAATTTTGGGGTTAAAATCAGAGAATTTTTAGCTTAAAAATTGGGAATTTTTTGGGTTAAAATTTGAGAGTATTGGGGTTGAAATTTGGAAATTTTGGGTTGGAAATTGGGAATTTTGGGGTTGAAATTTTGGAATTTTGGGATTGAAATTTGGACATTTTGGGGTTAAAAATTGGGAATTTCGGGGGAGGAAACTGGGAATTTCAGGGTTAAAATTTGGGAATTTTGGTGTTAAAAATTGGACATTTTGGGGTTAAAATTTGAGACTTTTTAGCTTAAAAATTGGGAATTTTTTGGGTTAAAATTTGGGAATTTTTGCGTTAAAATTTGGGAGTTTTGGGGTTAAAAATTGGGAATTTTTAAAGTTAAAAATTGGGAATTTTTTTGGTTATAAATTGGGATTTTTTTGGGTTAAAAATTGGAAGTTTTTGGGTTAAAAATCTGAGAATTTTTAGCTTAAAAATTGGGAATTTTTGGGTCAAAATTTGGGAATTTATGGGTCAAAATTTGGGAATTTTTGGGTTAAAATTTGCAAATTTTGGGGTTAAAAATTGGACATTTTGGGATTAAAATTCGAGAATTTTTAGCTTAAAATTTGAGACTTTTTAGCTTAAAAATTGGGAATTTTTGGGTTAAAATTTGGGAATTTTTTGGGTTAAAAATTGGGAATTTTTAAAGTTTAAAATTGGGAATTTTTTGGGTTAAAAATTGGGAAATTTTGGGTTAAAATTTGGGAATTTTTTGGGTTAAAAATTGGGAATTTTTGGATTAAAAATTGGGAATTTTTGGGTTAAAATTTGGGAATTTTTTGGGTTAAAAATTGGGAATTTTTGGGTTAAAATTTGGGATTTTTTTGGGTTAAAAATTGGGAATTTTTTAAGTTAAAAATTGGGAATTTTTTGGGTTAAAATCCGGGAATTTTTTGGGATGAAATTTGGGGGTTCCCGCCCCTCCCCCACTCACGTGCGGTACTGGGCGCTGTGGGGGAGGGGCGAGGAGGGGAAGTAGAGCAGCTCCATCTGGGGGGGAGGGGCCGCCCAAAATTCGTGGTATTCCCCCCAAAATTCACATTTTTCCACCCAAATTTCGCATTTTTAACCCAAAACTCCCCAAATTTTAACCCCAAAATTCCCCAAAACGTTAAAATGTCCAAATTTTAACCCCAAAATCTCCAAGTTTTAACCTCAAAATCCCCAAATTTTTAAGTCAAATTCTCCCCATTTTTAAATCAAAATTCCAATTTTTAATCTCAAATTTTAACCCAAAACTCCCAAATTTTTGCCCTAAAACTCCTGAATTTTTACTCTCAAAATTCCCAAATTTCAACCCCAAAAATTCCCGATTTTTTAAAATAAAAATTCCAAATTTTAACCCCAAATTTTAACCCAAAATTCTAATTTTTCACCCCAATTTTTAACCCCAAAATTTTTTCCCAAATTTTCTCCCCAAAATTTGCATTTTTCACCCTCAATTCCCCAATTTTTGAAGCATCAAAATTTCAATTTGTAACCCAAAAACTCCTGAAATTTTCCTCCCCAAAATTCTGCAAATTTTTAATGGAAATGTTCACAAATTTCAAAAAAAATCCAATTTTCAACCCCAAATTAAAACCTAAAATTCCCAGTTTTTTCTCTAAAACTCTTAAATTTTTCTTCCCAAAATTCCCAAATTATTTCCCAAATTTTCCAGAATTTTTATCCCAAAATTGGCAATTTTTTACCCCAAAATCACCAAATTTTAACATAATTTTTCCCAATTTTTAACCCAAAAATCCTCAGTATTTTAACCCCAAAATCCCCAATTTTTAACCCAAAAATTCCTAAATTTCAACCCCAAAATTCCTAGTTTTTCCCCAAAAATTCACAATTTTTGATCCTAAAACTCCCAATTTTCCAATTTTTAGCCCTAAATTTCCCCAAATTTTCACCCAAAAATTCTAATTTTTAATCCAAAAATTCACAATTTTCAATGACAAAACTCCAAATTTCCTCCCCAAAATCCCAATTTTTAACTCCAATTTTCCCAAATTTTCACCCCAAAATTTCTATTTTTTATCCCCAAATTGGTAACTCCTAAAATTCAAATTTTTATCCCCAAAACTCCCAAAATTTTCTCCCAAAATTTCCAACTTTTAACCCAAAAAATTTAAAATTTTTAGACCCAAAATCCCCAAAATTTCCTCCCCAAAATTCCAATTTTTAAACACAAATTTCCCCAAATTTTCCCCAAAAATTCCAAATTTCCCCCAAAATTTTCACCCAAAATCTCAATTTTTAACCCAAAACTTCCGCCCAAATTTCCCCAAAAATTTTCCCCAAAATTCCCAAATTTTTAACCCCAAAACTCCCAAATTTGAACCCAAAATTCCGATTTTTTCACCTAAAATTCCCCTTTCAGCCCCTCCCCCTTAAGCCCCGCCCCTTTCTCACCTTGACCACGCCCCATTTCTCCTCCGTGGCCCCGCCCCCCTCTCCGGGGTGGGGGAGGGGCGGGTCCGGCCTGGGGGGAGGGGCGGGGCCCAGCAGGAAGAAAAAACTGGGGGAAAAAAGGGAAAAAATGGGAAAAAATTAAAGATTCAAATTATTTAAATGAGGGGAGGGGCCAAGGGTGACCACGCCCACTATGGGGGGATTTGGCGGGAAAATTGGGAGTTTTGGGGTTAAAAATTGGGAATTTTGGGGATAAAAATTGGGAGTTTTGGGGTTAAAAATTGGGAATTTTGGGGATAAAAATTGGGAATTTTGGGATTGATACATTGGGAAATTCGGAGTTAAAAATGAGAATTTTAGGGTTAAAATTTGGGGATTTGGGGAGAAAAAATTGGGAAATTTGGGGTTGGATTTTGGGGCTAAAATTTTGGGGATTTTTGGGGTTAAAATTTGGGATTTTTGGGATTAAATTTTGGGGATTTAGGGGTTAAAATTTGAGAATTTTTGATAAAAAAACTTGGGTAATTTAATTTAAAAATTTGGGAATTTTGGGATTAAAATTCGGAGATTGAGGGGTTAAAATCTGAAATTTGGGATGAAAAATTGGGAAATTATGGGTTCAAAAATGTGGAATTTTGGGATTAAAATTGTGGATTTTGGTGTTGAAATTTGGGAATTTCGGAGTTAAAATTTGGGAATTTTAAAAAAACTAAAAAATTTGGGAATTTTGGGATTAAAATTCGGAGATTGAGGGGTTAAAATCTGAAATTTGGGATGAAAAATTGGGAAATTATGGGTTCAAAAATGTGGAATTTTGGGATTAAAATTGTGGATTTTGGTGTTGAAATTTGGGAATTTCGGAGTTAAAATTTGGGAATTTTGGAGTTAAAATTTGGGAATTTTGGGAAAGCAATTCGGGGATTTTTGGGTTAAAATTCAGGAATTTTGGGGAAAAACATTGGGGAAATTGGCTAAAAAATTGGGATGTTTTGGGGTTAAAAATTGGGGATTTTGGGATAAAAATTGGAATTTTGTGGGTGAAATTTGGGAATTTTGGTGGTTAAAATTTTAGGATTTTGTGATAAAAATGGAAATCTATAGGGAAAATTTTGGGGTAAAAAATTGGGAATTCTGAGATAAAATTCTGGGGTTTTAGGGGTTAAAAATTGGGAGTTTTGGGGTAAAAATTTGGGAATTTTGGGGTTAAAAATGTGGAATTTTGAGGTAAAATTTTGGGAGGTTTTTGGTTAAAATTTGGAAAATTTGGAGTTAAAAAATGGGGACTTTGGGGGTTGAAATCTCGGATTTTAGGGTTAAAAATTTGGAATTTTGAATTGAAATTTTGGGATTGTGGGGGTTGAAATTTGGGAGTTTTGGGGTTGAAGTTTGGGAAATTTTGGGACTAAAATTTGGAATTTAGGTGTTGAAATTTGGAAAATTTGTGGTTTAAAAATGGGAAAATTTGGGATATAATGAAATGGAAATTTATAGGGGAAATTTTGGGGTTAAAAATTGTGAATTTTAGGTTTAAAAATTTGGGAATTTCAAGGTAAAATTTTGGGATATTTTTGGTTAAAATTTGGAAAATTTGGAGTTAAAAAATGGGGAGTTTGGGGGTTGAAATCTCGGATTTTAGGGTTAAAAATTTGGAATTTTGAATTGAAATTTTGGGATTGTGGGGGTTGAAATTTGGGAGTTTTGGGGTTGAAGTTTGGGAAATTTTGGGACTAAAATTTGGAATTTAGGTGTTGAAATTTGGAAAATTTGTGGTTTAAAAATGGGAAAATTTGGGATATAATTTGGGATTTTGGGGTTAAAAATTGGGGATTTGGACGTTCAAAACTTTGAATTTTAGGTGTTAAAAATTAGATTTTTTGGGGGGAAATTTCGGATTAAAATCTTAAGAATTTTGGGATAAAATTTGGAGAAATTGGTTTAGAAAAGTGGGAAATTTTGGGTTAAAATTTGGGGCTTTTGGCATTGAAAATTTGGAATTTTGGGGTTAAAAATTTTTGGATTTTGGGTTAGAAAATCGGAATTTTGGGATTAAAATTTGGGGATTTTAGGGTAAAAATTGGGGGCTTTGGGTGGAAAATTTGGGGTTAAAATTTGGAATTTTGTGGGTGAAATTTGGGATTTTTGGCCTTTAAAATTTTAGGATTTTGGGATAGAAATGGGAAATTTTGGGGAAAATTTGGGGTAAAAAATTGGGAATTCTTAGATAAAATTCTGGGCTTTTAGGGGTTAAAAATTGGGAGTTTTGGGGTAAAAAATTGGGAATTTTGGGGTTAAAAATGTGGAATTTTGGGGTAAAAAGTTGGGGAAATTGGTTAAAAACAGTGGAAGGTTTTGGGTTAAAAATGGGAATTTTAGGCTAAAATTTGGGAATTTTTGGGTTAAAAATTTGGGAATTTTGGGGTTGGCATTTGGGAGGTTTTTGGAATAAAAATTGGGAATTTTGGTGGTTGAACGTTTAGAAATTTTGGGTAAAAAATTGGGAAATTTTAGATCAGATTCTGGGATTTTGGGTGGAAAATTTGGGAATTTTGGGGTGGAAAATTGGGAATTTTGGGGTTAAAAATTTGGGAATTCTGGGGTTGGAATTTGGGAGGTTTTGGGAATAAAAATTGGGAATTTTGGTGGTTGAACGTTTGGAAATTTTGGGTAAAAAATTGGGAAATTTTAGATCAGATTCTGGGATTTTGGGTGGAAAATTTGGGAATTTTGAGGTGGAAAATTGGGAATTTGGAGTTAAAAATTTGGGAATTCTGGGGTAGAAATTTGGGAGGTTTTGGGAATAAAAATTGGGAATTTTGGTGGTTGAACGTTTGGAAATTTTGGGTAAAAAATTGGGAAATTTTAGATCAATTTGGGATGAAAAATTGGGAAATTATGGGCTCAAAAATGTGGAATTTTGGGATTAAAATTGTGGATTTTGGTGTTGAAATTTGGGAATTTTGGGAGTTAAAATTTGGGAATTTTGGGAAAGCAATTCGGGGATTTTTGGGTTAAAATTCAGGAATTTTGGGGAAAAACATTGGGGAAATTGGCTAAAAAATTGGGATGTTTTGGGGTTAAAAATTGGGGATTTTGGGATAAAAAATTGGAATTTTGTGGGTGAAATTTGGGAATTTTGGTGGTTAAAATTTTAGGATTTTGTGATAGAAATGGAAATTTATAGGGGAAATTTTGGGGTTAAAAATTGTGAATTTTAGGTTTAAAAATTTGGGAATTTCAAGGTAAAATTTTGGGATATTTTTGGTTAAAATTTGGAAAATTTGGAGTTAAAAAATGGGGAGTTTGGGGGTTGAAATCTCGGATTTTAGGGTTAAAAATTTGGAATTTTGAATTGAAATTTTGGGATTGTGGGGGTTGAAATTTGGGAGTTTTGGGGTTGAAGTTTGGGAAATTTTGGGACTAAAATTTGGAATTTAGGTGTTGAAATTTGGAAAATTTGTGGTTTAAAAATGGGAAAATTTGGGATATAATTTGGGATTTTGGGGTTAAAAATTGGGGATTTGGACGTTCAAAACTTTGAATTTTAGGTGTTAAAAATTAGATTTTTTTGGGGGAAATTTCGGATTAAAATCTTTAGAATTTTGGGATAAAATTTGGAGAAATTGGTTTAGAAAAGTGGGAAATTTTGGGTTAAAATTTGGGGCTTTTGGCATTGAAAATTTGGAATTTTGGGGTTAAAAATTTTTGGATTTTGGGTTAGAAAATCGGAATTTTGGGATTAAAATTTGGGGATTTTAGGGTAAAAATTGGGAGGTTTGGGTGGAGAATTTGGGGTTAAAATTTGGGATTTTTGGCCTTTAAAATTTTAGGATTTTGGGATAGAAATGGGAAATTTTGGGGAAAATTTGGGGTAAAAAATTGGGAATTCTTAGATAAAATTCTGGGCTTTTAGGGGTTAAAAATTGGGAGTTTTGGGGTAAAAAATTGGGAATTTTGGGGTTAAAAATGTGGAATTTTGGGGTAAAAAGTTGGGGAAATTGGTTAAAAACAGTGGAAGGTTTTGGGTTAAAAATGGGAATTTTAGGCTAAAATTTGGGAATTTTTGGGTTAAAAATTTGGGAATTTTGGGGTTGGCATTTGGGAGGTTTTTGGAATAAAAATTGGGAATTTTGG